CAAACCGTTGAGGCGCTAGAGGGTATTTTTGACGAAAATAAGCGAAAAAATGTACAACCCTGCATGCTTAGTCAAAGTGACGGGCCGTTGACGGGCCAGAGGCCCGCATCTTTGTGTTCACTATTGCACTACCCGACTCGGGTGTCGTAACAGTGTTTCGTGAGATATCGCGAAGCCTGTTACGCGAGACGTGGTCTGGCGTACATCTACCTAGGTTATTTTATTCACAAAAAAAAAATACGGACAAGGCTAGGGAACTCCCAAACTGCCACAGTTGAATTACAGAGAAACTGTAGTTAAACTGTAGTTAGACAAGTAGGCCGACTGGCCGGGACCCTTGGCATGACACCAGGTTACTGCGGCACCAGAGCTATCGTGTCGCAGTGGCTCAGTGGTCAGCGTACCGGGCTCCCAACTCCGAAGTCCGAGGTTCAACTCCCGCCAACATCCGAGGTAAAACCAGTGTAATAACTATGAGGTAATAACTGAGATAAAACAATATGAGGCAACTGAATAGGAGGGAGAAAGAAAGACCCAGAGAGGGAAAAAGATATTTTTAACACTATGATTTAGAATCATTTGACACTTTAGTTTAAGTATAGTCCGAAATACAGACAACTTGTAGATCCAAGTATATTTACATCTGTAGATAGAGTGCGCAAAAACTGCAGTTAAAGTGAGGAGTGTTCCAAATCTTTACACATTTTTTTTAGATTGACTACAGTGAAACTGCAGTTGACTGTCATTTAACTTTAGTTTTCTATTAAATAACTACACTTAAAGTGCATCGTGCCAAATGCAGTTCGTATGCCCTTTTATTGTACTTGCAAATTACATTTGTGTTTGTAAAATACCAACATTACTTCAGTACAAATACTATGCTCACACTACGGTTCTAGCAAAAGTCCAGCTGCAGTCCACAAGTGTATTTTAAACTGTAAATCTTTCCACGCGGGATAATTTACCCCCCTTGTCCGGTGGGGGTATGAGTCCCCTACGGATTTCTATACGGGGGGTTTAAATAGCCCTGGGAATAATTTACGCCCCTCGGCTGGGAAGGGGTAACGGCCCTCTAGTAATTTCGTACCGGGGGTAATGTTACCCCTGGGAAAAATTTGGGGGGGGGGGGGGGGTACATAAACACTAGTGCACAGTGACCCCGGTAAAATTTCCCCTCTCGGAGGGGGTATACTACCCGTAGGTTTTTTTTACCGGGGGTAAGTGTGCACTCTTGTGTAGCTGTACCAGCGGCACTATGCCCCTAGGGATCCTGTTCTGGGGGGTAAGGGTGTTAAGATACGCGACGTCCCCTGTTTATAGTGCTGAAGTTCGTAGCTTTTTAAAAATAAAATATCTCCTAAACCCTCGTATTTCACAGGTCTGCCCTCTTAAAGAAACCAACTTCAACGAGTTTGAAAAGTTATTTCAAATCAAACTGGTGGTTTAGAAACAATAACAGCACTGACTTTAAAAGCGAACACTGTCTAAAACTCAAAAAATTGCTCGATAAGAAAAGTGTAGTATACCAGCTTACCCTAATATGTGTGTCGTCTGCCCAAACAATTCAGCTGAGCAGAAAATCAGCCGGGAATAAATCGCAGATGAACCTTTGCTTGCTTTTGATCCAAGGTTGACGCGATTCCAAGCAGTTTCACTAAAAATGCTAGTCAAATATGTTGCTCTCGGGAGAGCGAGATGTGTGACACAAAAAATCTCACTCTACTGAGAGTGAGATATCTGTGACTCTCGCTCAATTTGAGTCAGAGTTTGTGATCCTTTCCCAATGAGCACCTTACCCCATTCGGTGGAACCATAACAAAGCAGAAGCCTCTAGTCGCTAAAATATCTCAAACGCCCTTAGTTTGGTGTTATTTTTGATAAAACTTGTGTGGTAGGGTAATAATTTTTAACACCGGAGACGATAGGACTACTCATTTTAACCGAAACGCACGAGAAAATTTGCATGTTATGGTTCCCACTACGCGCTGCCACCTCGCCACCGAATGGGGTAAGGTGCTCATTAGAGTGAGGTTTCCCGCTGCAATAGGGTGTTGCAGGCTATCTGAAACGGGATTGGAAAAGAACTCACCGTTCAATCTGTCTCCATCTGCTCAGTATGAGAAATTACCATGGTAGTTTGGTCAGTTTCTAACCTCTCAAATATGGAGGGGAGCTCGAAACTGATCTGACAGTAACTGTCAAAAACTGTGAAAAACTGTTTTTCATACCTGGAAGGCCGTTGTGGCACGTGATCAGCTCAACCAATCAGAGCCATCACAGAAACAAAAAAGTTATTGAGTTTGTTCTTTACCTACTTCCCGTGTAGACAGCCTGAATATCCTATTGCAGGGTGAGAATGAAGCATTCTGGTAAACCTAGAATGCCGAACAATGCGAGGAAGAAGAAAACGGAAACCACTATGGTTTTACATGAGACTTCCGTTTTCTTGTTCCCTGCATTCTACTGTATTTCAGCTTTACTCAGAGCATACGACTCAAATAGGGTAAGCCTTATAGTCCTCACTCTCATTGAGCAAGGCTGAATTGTCGCACTCATTTCGAGCTCGATACCTCATTCAAATAAGGTTGTCAGTGTATGGATCAATCTTAAGCTAACAAAGTGAACGTACGCCAGACCACGTCTCTCGTAACACGTTTCACCATATCTCTCTGAAATCGCAACTTCGACTATTTTTTTCTTTGACTCTCTTTTCGATGCCTCCTAACGACAAAGTTCGATCTTCAGCGGCACGGTTACACAAAGTTCGATCTTCAGCGGCCCGGTTACACAAAGTTCGATCTGCGGCGGCCCGGTTACACAAAGTTCGATCTACATTCCGGCGGTTTCTGCAGCGCAGCTTAAATGTATTCATATTCTCGACAATATTGCAGATAGAAAAAAAGTAAAAACTGCTTCATGTTTGTAAAAGATCAAAGAACAACATACTCCAAAGAAAAAATTGAATGCTATCGCAACAAGACTGTGGTAGAGGTCTAAACTTGCGACTAACGCGAGCGGCGAAAAGCAGATCGAACTTTGTGTAACCGTACCGCTGCACATCGGACTTTGTGTAACCGGGCCGCTGAAGATCGAACTTTGTCGTTAGGAGGCATCGTTTTTCTTTGACTCTCTTTTTCTTTGACTCTCATTTGGTACAGAGGCTAACAGAGATGAACATATTCTATGGTTACGGCATACAGTTAAAAAGATGTCCTATCCTTCTGTTTGACAGAAAAAGCCATCTCAATTTGAATGGGACAAACCTCTCTACCTATTCAGGGTGGCCACGCAATTGGAGCTATCAAATTCCCTGACTTTTCCCTGACCTTTCCCTGATTTTTTACGCAAATTCCCTGGCTTTTAAAGGTATTTTAAGTGGAACTTTTTGCCTCCCCAAAACTTGAAAATGCCATCGAAAGTTTGAAAATACCAATTTTGGGCAAGTTTCAGTCATTTTCCCTGACCAACGTTCAATTTCCCTGACTTTTCCCTGACTTCCCTGACCAATATTTTTTTTCCTGACTTTTCCCTGACTTCCCTGACTTCCAGGTTGCGTGGCCACCCTGTCATAGTAAAGTGTGACTGTTCAAAATTGTTAGGTTTAACAGGCGTAAAACCATATGACAATCGTCATGCGCAGTGAAAAAAGTCCACCGTTAGATCAGCTGCGTTAATTAGCGTTTCTGCTTTTAACCCGCATTTGTGTTCGCTAAGGGGCCATTCAGACCTACTTTCATCTCCGTCGAGAAGCGGCTGGTGGGAACTGGGCTGCATCTCGTCACCCAAGACCCCGAAAGCCTTGTACTTCAGCGAGTGCGTTCCGCAGTTCCCATGATGATTGGGGTCACCTCCTGTGAAATGGCGCAATCAGCTGATGCCCAGTGTAAGTACGTAACGGTTGGACTATACATATAATAAGTGAGCTCGCAAAGCTCTGTTAGAGATTACACGGAGCAAATTTCGGTCGAGAACTATACCTCCTCGGGTAATGGTTCTCGCACAATGAACGGGAGAGATGGGCCATGAGCTTCGGACAATCTTTCCTTAACTGCCCATATTCACGCGTTGGTACATAAGCATGCGCCAAAGTTCTAGCAAAGATGTTCCGTGGCTGATGGTTTATGGCTCATGACTCCTGATTATTGTGGGGGCACCTGAAAACGTTTTAACTTCGATTCAATATAATAAATTTGCAGTCAGAAGCCGCAGAGGTTTCGATAAAAGCAGATTGAATTTGGGTAAATTCATTAGGGTATTTCAATGGAGCGCTGCCCGGAACTAAGAAGAACCAAAACGGATACAGAGAGCGCTGGCGCGGGCGGGCGGGTAGGGTCCCCAGCCTCCACCCGCTGCTCCGCGCGCCCACCCCCACCACCGCTCTCCGTAACCGTTTTGGTTCTTCTTAGTTCCCGGCAGCGCTCCATTGAAATACCCTATTTATAAACGCAAAATTAATGATATTTTGTAAAAAAAATCCCAGTACCGGTAAGTTGAGGGTTATGTAACAAGGAACGACGTGCGGCCCTCTTGCAAAGGTTACATGTGCCCCATTTCATGGTAGGACATACCGAGGATGAGCTCGGGAGTTGAGTGTGCTGAGATCAGCCAGCTTCGCTTCGCTCCGCAGTCGACTCCATTCGGCAGGGGCTGGGCCTAGCTTGTCTCATTGACCTAGAAACCTTTCACTATCCAAAAGTCCATACTTTATTATGTTTCAGACCCATATATCATGCCGAACGACCCAAGTTTTCTCATGCTAGTTCCTGGAGCAGTTATCCCAAGCAAAGATACTCAACGGGTCTTGAACATTAGTGCTGAGGCTCTAGGATACAACTACGAGGACGTCCAAAGCGCAATTCGTAATCAGTTTTTTAAAAACTTTTCGGCGGATTGCGATGAGCGCTGCAGGTTCAAACAGGTAGGGCAATTACTTTCTTTCTATATTTCGCTTGTCCCTATTGCAAAGCACGCAACTCCACGGAGCCTCCGTCAAAGCACGCACAGCGGTCCGGCGCTGGCGAAACCACGCAAAGTTCCTGGGCGCTGGCGAAACCACGTATCGATGTTTTTCAAAAAATCTGAGATAACTATATATTCTGGAAGAGGGAAACGTCCTCTTTCCAACGATATAGGTCTCAAAAATCACCCCAAAAATCGAGTTGCGTGGTTTCGCCAGCACCGGACCGCTGTGCGTGCTTTGACGGAGGCTCCGCGGAGTTGCGTGGTTTCGCCAGCGCCGGAGCGCCGTGCGTGCTTTGCAATAGGGACAAGCGTTGTACTCGGATGGAAGGATCTACCCTTTTGACTCAGTGTTTTAAGTTTTTTCCCCACTCATAAAGCAGGCAGATGGAGTGCATGCGAGTCTAAATCAGAAACAGGGTTTTAAACGTGTGTCAATATTGTAGTCTTAGTTTTCGGCAACTCCAGGTAAAGTAAAGAAAAGTATTCATAAACTATATTGTTGGCTGAGCGATTAGCGAAGCATATTACTTCAGTGATGATGAAAACGTTTCGCGTCTGTCTGCCTGTCTATCACCACGGTGACTCGATAACGGATTGCGCTAGGAAGTTAAAACTTTCCGGGTTACTTTGACAGCGCAACAGGCTTCGAGATATTTCACGAAGCACTTTTACGCTGCGACGCGCCTGGCATACGTCTTTCTAGTCCTGAGGCGCCGACACCCGAGTCGGGCAAAAGGCACAAGGCACAGTCCTAAATGGGCTTGTGGCCTCAAAAGTTACGAATTTTGATCCCTAGGGTTTTATTTTGACGAGTTACCCCACCAGATACCACCAAATATCGGAACAAGCGATGCCCGTTCTTCCGCCAAACCAAGTTGCCAGCTACGCTTCGCTCCAACGGCAACTTGGTTCAGCAGGGAGCGAGCCTCGCTTGGCCTGCCGGCAAGTGAGTGTTTTTGGCTGAGCGATTAGCGAAGCCCCTTACTCCACTGACCGGAAAAGTTTCATTCTGTTTGGCTGTTCATCTGTGTGTCTGTCTGTCCGCACGAAGAATTAAGAAGGCGATCTGGGAATTTCAGGGTCGTTTTGTGTCATAAAAAGACAGATCGAGTTCGAAGATGAAAATTCTATCGCAAAAATTGACCTTTTAAAAAATCAAAAACCACAGGTTGCAAAATATTTTTTTCAAATATTTTTTTTTATGGGCTCCTGTAAGGCAACTCGTGAAAGTAGATGTCTACGGTCGAAAATTTCACCCGTTTTGCTCTATCTTGTACCGTTTCGGCGCTATGGGGCATATCTTGGTGAAAACTACGTGAAAAAGACCAAATGGTCTAATAAATCGTAAAAAAGGCTTCATGTCACAGAATAGGGTATTTAGGGTAAGTGAACACGCGGAAACGGAAAGGCCAAGCCGCTGCTGGATCCGTCTCAGCCTGCGAACTGCGCATGCGCAGTAGACGCTGCGCGCCCGCCGTCCACGTTCCGCGCGCAACAGCCGCAGAGATGCAACCAGCGGTGAACTGGGCAGTTCCGTTTCCGCCGCTCCACTTACCCGAAATACCCTATTGTAAAGGGAGTAATACTTAAACTACACATTACGGGCCGAACCACACCCTCTTTTGGACTTAAGGGTCCCTAGATTTTGTAGTATCACTAAAACGTTGATTTTTACATAACAATCTCCTACTTATGTAAGTGGAACACGTAAACCATTCCAAATATCACTTTCGTTCCTTCTCATTGGAGACTCGCGAAATTTCGTAAGCTGTGTTCCGCAACTCTCAAACTAAAACAATCGGTTCGACTATCTGACATTTTAATAACTGCTGAGAAGGTATTAAAGTCTTCAGGTGAGCGCAGGAGCCACTTGCGCTCCCCCTCCCCTCGAGCGCCGTGCTACCAACCTACCGCCACCAAACTACGAATTCAAATTAGACGATCGTTTATTCCAAACATCTAATATCAAACTTCTAAACTAATCTCGTTACGTCTCGACTTTTACTGAAGCTTCGTGCGCAGTTTGAAGTCAATTGAAGTTACCGTCTGAGAGAAACGTGGGCCAGTACAGACAGACGGACACACGACCAAAGAGTTCTCTGCACCCCACATCACAGCAAAGGCTTCGCAAGCTCAGCCAAAAATGTAATAACTAAAGCATTCTCTCAAAACGCTGTACACCGTTAACTGTTTGTGCCGCAATTTGTAGAATACAGGCCATTGCAGATTTTTCAAAATTCCTCCTAATTGATTTTAGACTATAAGCTCATTAACACACCGCTAAAAAATATTCAAGACGGCGGTGAGATGACGGGCAAGTCAGGTTCACCCAATTTTCGGGCAATTTTCATCATATTACGACGTGATCTTTTTGGTTGAGGTCGTTAGGTTAAAAACAACCCCCGAACTAATGATTTTGTATCGAAATAGACACCTTAGCACTTGTAAAATGGTCGTTGTCACTAACACAACCTCGAGGGTTCTCGGTCTACGAGGCCACATAGCAGAATGTGTACCCTGGGGCAGTGTGTAACATGAACGTCAGTCTGGGGTAGTGTCTTAGTAAAGTTAAGAAACTTTTGCAAAAGTCAGTGCTATTTTTAGTAGAAGGACATTGGTTTCGCAAAATACGACATAAGAATGTGTACAACAATCTTTACCTCACAGGACTTTGTCAAAATTGAAAATTTAGTGCATTTTTAACTAAGATTTGTAAGTGAGAGATCGAGTGAAGTACCATACAGTCAATATTACGAGCAAAAGTCCGCAGGATATTAAACATTTTCGACTCCAGCGTAGTGACGTTAAAGCTGTATCTAGTGAACGTGGCTTAGTATTGGTGCTATGCGGCACACGCATTGAAGCACCGCTTCACAGTGTATGTACTGGTCGGGTCCTATTCCCTGACAAAAATGACGTGTCAACAAAGTAGCAACCAAGTGTCAGGGACGTGTTGAAACGATGTGTTATCGAAGCTGCAATTGGCACTACGAAGTGGCAACGAAGTGTCAAAAGGAAGCTTCAACGAAGTGGTAACGAAGTGTTATCTAAGTGTCAAGGAAGTGTCAAGGAAGTATATATGCGAGGTGTTCACGAAGTGACGAGGCGTCAGGGAAGTGGTGGGAACCTTTGCTCAAGCCCCACTTCTATCACCAGAAAAAAAGGCCCTTCAAATTAACACAAGCAAATCTATTATTTTATCTTTTCTTTATTAGACATAACTTACAGGCTGATTATTGCCTTGCACTTTAGATTAAAATTGAATACGGTGAGATGATTCATATCTTTTAAGTAGTAAAATGTCCCTGAAACAAAACAAAAAAACAGCAGTTAGTTCAATAAAATCTTTAAAAGATTAATGCGAGACTATAGGGAAACGCAGAATTCTAAACTGTACTTACGGTACTACTGCTGTTTGTCTGCATCTACTTGCATCGTCTTGAAAATCCCTTCCCAAAATGTGCTAATATGCTATAAGCCTCTTCATTTCACGCCCTTCAAACTTGGTTAAGGCCGTAAATAGCTTTGCATAGCATACATCACATCATTTTCTTCTCACGGAACTATAAAGACATCAGCCTGTTGGAGATGGACATCTTCCGCTAAATCGCCTTTGAGGAACGCTGTCTGGACAAATCTAATCAAAGTGCCAGTCATGATTAGCAGACAATGCAAACAACAATTGGATGGTCTCACAAGGTATAGTTGGAGAAAAAGTATTCCTCTTCCTGACTTTCAGAATGTAAATCTTCATTATTTCAATGCATATCACCATAGTCTTGAATTAAAGCATAATCATCACAAGCTCCATCTTCTAAGACTGGTGCACTTGGCACTATAACGTCAGGTTCAAGTGACATGGTTTGATCAGAATGTAAATGATTCTAGCATCAACCTTCACATCAGAAATACTGACAATTTCAATGAAATTCACATCCTTACTAATTTCTAGGGGACAGGTTGGCAGCATAAGCAATGGCAAGTCATATCCCCTCTAAACCAGCTCCTCTTGCTGAAAAGTACTTACGACTGCGAGAGAAGCATGCTGAGGTTGAGGGGCAGGCTTTCCTTCTTCGGCCTTGCGAGGTTGCACCTTCCCACGAGGTTTCTTCAACTCGGGACACCCGGGCTTCTTGTGCCCTGGCTTCTGGCAGTGATAGCAGACAACTGAAGCATTAGGGTCCCTTTCGCCTTGAAACCTTGGCTTACTCTTGCTGAAACAGGCAACGGCAGAATTAATATCAAGTGGCCTTGAATTTTCATGTAGTTCCTGTCGAAGCAGTCTGGCTCTGACTCCATCGGAAGGCAAGTTTTCTTCTGAATTCTCAAAGCTCATCACAATTGGCTCAAATTCCTTTGGAAGACCACTGAGCATTACAATTGCAAGCAAGTCATCATCCAACCCTTTCTTCATAGAAACAAGCCTTTGCTGCAGTCCCATAATATGGTTCACATATTCTGTTATTGAACCAAAACGCTCCAAAGAAGCACGAAAGAGACTACGCATCAAAGAGCATCTTAATACAAGTCCTAAGTCTGAGTAGGTAGATGCCAGTTTATCCCAAACTTGCTTGGCTGTGGTTAAAGTGGTATAGCCCTTAGGAGAGGCCCTAATTGAGGTAGTCTAATTACAGCGAAATAGTACTTTAGGGTGTTTGTAATGGCTTATTGTTGCATAAGAAACAGTTTGACACCAATTTCATGTCCTATTTTCATGGGATTTCCATGGAAAAGCCCCCGAAAAGGTTTTTTTTTTCGGATACTGCCAACGTCTAAAAACGGAACTACACACTCATACCGCGTTGTATAAAATTCATTTCAAGTCTTTAAAATTGTCCAACGCTAAATTATTTTCGTTCTAGCCACCGTTAGTAGTAGTTTTAGTCGTTGAAACCGGATATATTTACCACCCAGTACTTCGTGAACAAGGAGAGACCTACGCGCTGTGATGTTGGTACCACTACCGCGTCGTCTGCCTACCCGCGCCGGCCGCCATACTCAGTCTCCAGCCGCGTCCCTCTGCGTCAACATCAACAAGTCTGTGGATATTTTAGTTAGTCAGTGCTGTTTCACAAATTCAAGATGCCCTTCATGAAACCGAAGGAGAAGGCGCGCAGGGCGAAGGTTGCCAAGGCCATGAAAGACAAGTGGAATAGTGTCCGCGCCAGGAAAGCTATCTGCGAGGAACTTGAACCTGTGATGTGTGAGGCTCGGCGCCGTATCATAGACTTGGCAGTGTTCACAAGGGACTTGTGGTGTCAAAATTGTGATGCCCCTATGAGCCTTTGCTTTGCCGAGAAAGAAAGAAGTATTGGGCTGGCCTCGAAGTTCCTCGTCCGCTGTCATATCTGTTTGCTCGATAAAGAAGTGTCAACAAGTGAACTGGCAAAAAGACGGTTTGAAGCGAGCCGTCACTCAAACGGGCCGAAGGCTCGTTTTCCGATAGAAGCTATATTACACCATGAAAATTCAGAAGGGCCGGGCCGCCGGCAGGCCAAGCTAGGCCCGCTCCCTGCCGAACCGAGTTGCCGGTGCAGCGAAGCGGAGCTGGCAACTTAGTTTGGCGGAAGAGCAGGCCTAGCTTGTTTACATATCAAATTGAAAACCCACTTCTTCCTCAATTAGAGGGTATTTCGTCCGTTTCGTAGTTTTTGTTCTGTAAATAATCTCCCGAACCCGTGCAATAGACGATTTTCACAGGTCTGCCCCCTTAAGAGGCAGTGGCAGGTTTACAAATAGTTATATTGTAAACCAGCATGGATAGTTTTTGTAGTTCCTAAGCAAAAAAGAAATCGTAATAATTGTTCTTGTTCGTTCAAATTTGAACTGACCTTTTCGCTCATCTCTCGCTGCTGTGGCGATTAGTTAGTTATTTGACTTGCCCAAGCTTTTTTCTAGGGTGGGTACGATTAATACCGGGTGTATTTCAAAATCGATAACTTGAACTTTTAATATGATATGTCCCTTGTTACGTTTAGTTACTAACAGTCGTTCGTGTGAGGATAAGTTACGGAGCACTACTAAAATTCTATCTGGTGTGTGTTTCAGTATATTGTTCAACAGGGCATAAAATTGAGCGCCATAAGAGCTCTACGACATCAAGCTGCGTTTTCATCAGCTCCAGTGTACGCATACCAGTACAGCTATCCTGCAAGCCCCAACGACGAATGTGAGTTTTAAAAAAAGTTAAAAACTGATGTAGCGCACATGTGATGTGCAATCACCTGCCTGCCACCTGCTGATCAAAATCTTCAAAATTCACAGAGCAATGGCTAGGTGAAGGTTTGGGCTAGGACCTTGCGGTGGCTAGTGAGTAAAATTCGAAAGTCTCATTGGTTTAAACAGTCAAGGAGGGCACGATTGCCGCAGTGACAGACTCCGTTGGCACAATTATTGTCCGGGCTGATACAAAGTTCTCAAACGGGCGGGCGCGGGCGGGCTCCACCCCGCTCCACCCGCTGGCTGACGTGTGCGAGAGAGAGCGACAGTACACGGGCGGTGCTGCGGTGCTGTGGCTTGGCGTGGCGGCTGCCGTGCCGTCACCGGCCGGATATCCGAATAGTGCCGAAGTCACCTGTGCGGGTGTCCGGCCGGGTCGGCGCTGGCCGACAGCTACTCTCACCACGCCAAAAAGTGCCAAACAGAGCGGGCGGACCGTCCACCCCGCCGCCAGTCTCGGTCCGGCGCTTCAAAGTTTTATCGTTTTCATCCCTAGATTAGGTTTTGCATTAGTTTGAGCTGCCCGTAGGGGGTTTGCAGGTCGTTTAACGCAAATTTAATTGAAAATTGGCCAAATTTATAGCCTGATTATCAACTTTACATGCACAGATCTCGAGAACTGATTGACGTACAGCGCCTAAATTTTGAAGGAAAACATAACTTAGCACGTTCTTTACTTTTAGAAAATTTGAACAAAATCGACAAGGGTCGCCAAAACGGGTCCCTAGAGGAGGTTGCGATGGTGACCCTTTTGGTTACCCCCACTGATTTGGTTGAAATATTTTTTATGGAAAGATAATTACCTGCAGAATCTGGGCGCTGTAGCTCAAACGGTTCCGGAGATGTGAGCATGCAAAGATGGCAGAAATAAGATGAATTTGGGAAATGTTTGATGAAATTCGCGTGAAATGACCTCCAAACTCACTACAGACAGCTAAAACAAGTGCCAATCCTTATTTAGGGGTGCACACAACTACTCTTTAAAGCGACTTTGAAATCTGACTGTTTCACAGTAAACTTTCCCTTATAAGGGCGTTCTATTTTCAGAAGTAAAGCCACCGATCTATTCGGAACGCTGCTTAAATGAAAATACACGTCGAGGAGTTTCCAAAGATATCGCGCGGAGGGCGCTGCAATGTCGGGAACCATGTGCAAGAATGGACTTTAGGCCTTTCTCACTTTCGCGCCAATTAACACCCGACATGATTTTTACCCTGCCGCGCCGCGGATGCGCGGCCGGCCGTGGCAAACTGAACAATTGGTGACTGAGTCATATTTTATATTTAAAAAAAATAGAAAACTACAAAAAATTTAGGAAGGTTGAGCCAAAAACTTGCTACTTAAACAATGGTGCGCTTTTCCTAGCAACCGAGTTTCTCATACCACTTTGTACAACAATTCGCACTTGGCCCAAGCACCTTTGGTCTGACCTAGGTTGACCATGCTTGCTTTGGGCCCAGCCCGTCGGAATCAGCATGGCTCAAACCAGCCTGGGCCAACCTAGCTTGGCCCGATCCAACCCCGGTCGGCCCGAGCACCGGGCCTGGCCCGTAACATATATACAAAATATCGGAGGAGCTAAAGCCCTCCACAGATGCCTGACTTTCCATCGCCGAAAACCTGATCGAAGTATTGGTTTCGCAGCAAAGCAGATCTAACTCATTTGGTTCAGAACCAAATCAGATCGGACTCTTTAGTTGGGGCGCATCGCTTCATTTTTGATGCCTTTTAAAAAGCAGAAGCGCGAGCTTAAAACTTAATTCCAGCTTTTCTGACTTGTTAATTCCTTCTAGGAAAAGTCTTTTCTGAGTCCACATCATATTTATGCTTATTTTCCAGGTGCATACCATGGTGCTGACGATTTTAAAGTATGGCCTATTTTTGCAAATACCTCGTACAATGGAACGTCTCCTGACTCTTTGCTGCTACGCCGGCTAGTGAAATTTATTTCCAATTTCATCAAATACATGTGAGTATTAACGAGGCCAGAATCACTACTTGTACACCAGAGTCTACGGCGTACCCCTTTTATCTTTAAGTCCGCAGGTTTTTCAGCGCCCATGGGATTTTGATTTCTCTATCCAAAATAATGATGCACATGTCTCGCCGATTTCCCAATTTTTTAAAATTGATGGATGCGAAACGGCTTAAGCTTAAAGCTTTAAAGTTTTAGGGTGGTGAAGGGTTTGTTAAAGTACTGTAATTTTCTTACTATGGGCATTACTATAGACATTACTGATTCTGAAAGGTCTCAGTGTGTCCTCGGTTTTCATGTAATAAAAAGTTAGGGCTACGTCGGCATTATTTCCTGTAAATGGCGAGTGACGTCGGGCAAACATTTAGGCCCCTGGACACGCCGCGTGTGTCGGGAGCTCGGATCCTTCATATCCGATACAAAGCAGGACCCATATGGTAACACTTTCAACACGAGTCGTTCGCCCTGGCCCCACCGTGCGCGCAGGGCAGCGCCTACAAGATGGCGCGCCTGTTTGGCGCCAAGTGGGGCCAAAACGAAAATTGCAATGCGAACCGGTTAAACGTTGTCGGACAGGCTCCGGACTTTGCACACGGTCTCTCATAGTTGAAATCTACCATCTAGGCTCCGTGCCTCCAAAAGCCACGATTTCGACCCATGAAATAGGGTTAAAAAAAAATTCTGTAATTTTACAGGAAATGTTTAGCTATTTTTTGGGGCAAGTGGTGTCGTAAACTATTTTTACAGCGCAGTAGTTGTAAAATTACGACAAATGCCAGGGAACCCAAAAAACGTTGACAGCTTTTTTACGTTTTCAAGGTAGCGCTGTAAAATTATATAGAATAGCTGTCAGACTACAACATCGGTTGTAGAATCCGCCATATAAATACGTATTTCGGAGATAATTTTTTTTTCCGTTTCAGTATGATAATGTGCGTGTTTCTCATGAATTTATCGTGAGTTTTTTCCTTGTTTGAGGACTTTTTTTTGCAACTTTTGCACTTTGCAAAGCAGTTACCCCCGAAAACTTGTGGATTTGTAAAAAGCAGGATAACTTTACAACAGCGCTGTAATTTTACAGTGTCACCATAATTTCACAGCTGTTTCAATAAATTACAGCATTCCTCGTAAGACTACAGCTCCAACCAAAATCGTGTTTTACGGATAGGGTTGTTTTTTTCCCAAAAGCCTGTAAAATGTTCAGCTGTAAAATTGCGATATATTTTTAACAGTGTAGGCCTGCGACGCTGACACCCGAGTCAGGCGAAAGGCACAGGCGTTGCCCCAAACGTCACAAATTTTTCTCTTCGGGGTTTGATTTTGACGAGTAACCCCACCAGAGCCCAATTAATGTCTGAGAAAAACATTAAAATGTTTTGGGGTGATTTCCGTGTGAAAATCGCCGACTGGTGCCTAAACGGTTAGAGATAGATCCAATCGGACGAAATTTGGGCCGAAGGACTAGACTTTGACGAGTTACCTTTAAGAAAGATATAAAACTAGAATTTTTAAGAATAAGTTTTTTGCGATTTTTGTTTTTGATTTTTTGACACGTCATTTTTTAAACTAGAGGGCCCAAAATCAATACAGTTCTATGTAACATAGTTACAATAAAAATTTAATGTACCTAGCTCAAACCGTTCTCGAGTTAACGTGATGACAGACAAACCGACACACAGACAGACTCGAAACTTTTTGATCATCACTGGAGGAATAGGCTTCGCTAATCGCTCAGCCAATGATTGGTTATTTTGTGTTAGGTTCCGATGAAGTTGGACTGAGGCAGGCCTAATGCGTGATTTTGATAAGGAAAATCGCTAACCCATAGTAACCTGAGATTACCTAACGAACTTAGGCACTCTAGTCCTGTCGCGAATTGAACGGACCCTGAACGAAAAGCTTCAGAGCGTTCACACATATATTTCTAATTGTCTCGTTTTCAGGATAAAAAATATGCCTACATTTTAGTTTTATACGCCCTTCACTCCGTTTAAGTCCCTTTGTGGACTTGATGAGCATTCCTAGGACCTCGAAAACGTCTATCGTGTCCACAAAAATAGCAAAAAGACACCGGGAATGGCTTCAGGTTACCCGATAACCACCGCGTACCTATTTTTAATGCGAACGCTATCGGCGACATTACGAGGTCCCCGACGATGACCCCAGTGCCCTAGGGTGACCCTGCAAATGGACAAAAGAAATGGCTTTAGTAGACCCAACACCCAACAATCATTCGTGTGCGCCCCAGTTATTGCCCGAGGGAGGGGAGCAAGTCTATTTATACACTCTAAAAAAAATTAATACAAAAATTTGTAATTTGGATATGCAGTTTTTTCAGCATCCATGAAACAAAAAATTGTATTCTTTTGGATATAAAAATAAATTTGTAACGTGGATACAACAATTTGTATCCATCGATACAGAATAAAACATTTTGTTGTATGCTCTGACACATAAGAAAAAGAGATTTTTTTTCTCTTGGATGTCTTATTCTAGACGTTTCACTCTCATCACAGACGA